AGAGAGGGAGACAGAGAGAGAAGTGCCATTAATAAGGTCTCATCATGTTGTGATCTCCTTTCTCCAGCCTTCCAGTTCCTCAGAATCTTTTTCACTTACACGCAGTTTTCAGGCCAACTCAGGGATCTAAACCTGCAATCAGCCATGTGACTTCCAGCACTTCAGTCTAGTTTGCTTATGGACTATGCCACCTGCCTGAACCTACAGCTGTATTTCTAAAGAAAATTTCTCTACTGCTAATTATTCATTTTAGTTTTAGACAATATTTATTGATTTCTATTTTTCATTATTTGTTAAAGAAAAGATCTTGTTCTGTAACTGTCATTCTGCCACAGCCTACTGTATAGTTTGGACTATGGGCATGTGCCATCATGCCTGGCCTTTAGATTGGGTCGGAAATTGAACCTTGACCTCCCATGTGGCCTTGCTTTGCAAAGCAACAGTGTTTTATCAGTTTGTGTCACCATTGCTGGACCAAGACAGTATTTACTCACTTTTTTACCGTTCCATAGAGCATAGTCATTTCACAATCCCATCTCTTCTATTTCTCCATCTTGTTGGGATTGTGGGTATACACATACACATGTGCCCAGTGTGTTTTTCAAGGCACCAGAACTGGGATTTGAACCACGGTCAGCCATGTGGAATTCAGATCCATGGACCAGAGGCTACAATTCCAGCCCTATTTGTAAAACTTTTATCTTTGATTGGGAATTGATTCTTCCAGAGAAGAATTCTCCAGTTGCCTTATTGTGGAAGATAAGCTTGACTATCAGTATTCTGGAAGTACTTGACACTGGTTCTCAATTCCATCTTGCATCTATGAAACTGAAATATCCATACTTGAACCTCTCCAGAGGATGATCCTCTAGACTAAGTTCACAACAAAGAAGAGGTAGTCCCTTTGTTTCTTAATGTGAGGAAAACAATCTGGGGGATTTAATTTCCCTTAAAGACTTTTGATCAAGTACTACCTGGAACCCCAACCTTCAGAGATTTAATTTTCAAAATAGATGACTGCTGATTGGCTTATCCTATGGGTGCAGAAGAAAAATAGAAAGGCAAATCATTAATGAGACAAAGAAATGTGGTATTATCTGTTGAAGGTAATTTATAGTTTATCAGCTATACTAGGGAGAAATGTTCACCTGTTGAAATATCCATTTTGTAAGCCAAATAATGTGATTAAATGTATAAAAGAAAATGAAATTTAAAAAAATAAATAAAAAGAAGAAAAGAAAAAGAAAGACAAACGAGCAGCAGAGAGCTAAATTTAAAATTAAAAGAAAAATTAAAAAATATATAGAGAGATGGAAAGAGACAGAATAAGTAGGATGTTCTAACCTGGCTTCTGGCTAGACTGGAGAGCAGGAGGGTGAAGGCTGGGCAGAAGGTCTTCACTGGTCAAAATCCCTGAATGTGACCACTTGTAACTCAAATATAGATGGCTGCTATCTCAAACAAATGAGATAAGACTTCAGATATCAGTTCCTCAGGGTGAGGCCCAAGCATCCATAGTGTTTTTTTTTTTTTTTTTAAGTTTATTTATTTATTCCATGAGTGAGAGAGAAGGAAAAAGATAGGAAGAGACACAGAGAAAGATACACTACCCCTGACAGGGTCCAGGTTCTGCCACTCACCCCTAACTTCAGCCAGCCCAGATCACAGGCACACAACCTCTAATATACTCAGGAAGGCCTCAGGGTGCAAACCAGTAACCTTCCCATTCACATCTACATCACAGTGCATTGTGTTTTACTGCTGTACCACTCTCTAGCCCCATAACTATAGTTTTTGAAAGCTATGTAAGTAATTCTAGTCTGTAGCCAGATTATTCTAATACACAAAATAGTGAAATAATATGAAGTGCTTGACTCAGAATTTGGTGCATAGTAATTGATCAGATATAATTATTATATTTGTAACTATTACCTTAAGGGTGCTGGTGCTGTTTCTTGTGATGCCGTTCAATAAGTAACTTGATGAGTAAGTATAAAATATGGAAAGCCAAGATTTCTTGTATTGCCTACTTCCAGATTCCTTTGACTCTCATACTGTATACTGCTTTGCTAAATGACTGGAAAACATTAAAAATGCATGGACAGGAATGGAAGGAATAGTACTTTTTCTATGTAATGTTATAGAGAAATTATGATCTTAATGGTCATAGCACTCAAAAATTTTAAGTCCTAACTCAGTTAATAGGTCAAGCACTTTTTGGGAGCAAGTCACTTAACTTTAGCTTCAATTTCCTTGTGTCTAAAATTGGGCTGAAATAAACAAATTTTGTTTTGGGTGGAGTAACTAAATAATACAGCCTGGGTAAGATACTTAGGAAATTTTCTAGGAATGCAGTAGGATGTTAAAACATCAATAAACGTTCCACTTGATTTCTCACTTCTTTATTCCAGCTTCAGATATGCACATCAGTTCTCTGTCAGCTTTCTTTCTGTATTCATCAATAATCTAGATTTGGAAAATACAGTATCGCTTCCAGGTTCACTGGAAGTGGACCTGACACCTAGAATCCCAGAAGAAAAAAGGGGGATTAAACCCTGAGGTTCAAAGGCCATTTGTCTCCTTGATATTGATTTTCTAAATCAGACAGTAGCCAAGACCCTGAGAGAAGTAATTGAACTGACAATAGGCAGGTCTATGTTATTAATAATGGAACAGCCTTGGACATTCTTGATGACCTAATTTAATGACAGAAGAGAGGTCTGCAACTGAAATTTCTGGAGATGGGGTCAATGACTGGGTCTCTCAGGAGAAAGAAGTTATTCCCAAGAGCTTATTTCATGGAACAAAGCATTTTATGATAGTCCTGAACATGAGTCCAGAGGAAATGGTTTTGATTTTCTCTTTATTAATAAAACAAAAATTTAAAGGCTTAAAAAATTACCATTATATTTATTTTATATCCTTAGTTTGGAAAACAGACTTGGTTAGAGTTATGGAATTTTGGAGTGATAGCGAATAACTCAAGGGGAATTATCTCCTGGATTCAAATATCAATCTTTTTATCTATTATTTGGATGATTTTGAGCAAGTTAGGTAATGTCTCTGAGTCTTAGTTTCCACATTTATAAAATGTTAATATTTATTTTAGTTACAGAAGAATATTTAAAATTTTTTAAAAATATTTAAAATCCCTGGCATTTGATACTGTATAACATCTCACACAATGCATATTTGTCAAATGAAATAATACATGAATTTTAATGGTTTCCTCTCTTTAACTGCCTCTGGATAAAAAGACTAACCTATAGAAACCTCTTGAAAACAGTTCCTTTACTCCAGCTATTCTACCTGTCCTACCTCTAGTCCTCATCATCTCTCATCGAGACTATTTCAGTGGTCTTGGGTATCTTCTAATACCAATTTTTCTTTCTTTCACTCTCTCTCCTTGTCTCTTAACAAAGTTGTTTGCCATGGTTGGTAGTAAGACTTAGGAGACATTATTATCTCAAGAGAAAATGAAAGTTATTAAGAGCAAGAATGCATGGGGTGTGTGTGTGTGGGGGGGGGTCCTGAAGCCTCAGCCCACTTGCTAGGAGGGAGAGGGTTTCTCTTATAGGGTATCAAGCAATTCTGGAGGACTGTAGTTGAGACTGATATGCAGTACAGTTAGGCATAATGGCATAAGTGTACATGAAACAGGCTGTGTGGTCTTTTTGATCTATCTATAGGAAATTGGACCTCCCAGTACTCACTTTGGGTCTTTATCTGCTATTTCCAGTGTCAATGTGACCTTGTAGTAGCAGCATCTGGAATGTGGGTTCTGGTCAAAACCAATTATGCAGAAGTTGAACCTTGGTTCCTGGTCAGGCATGGAGTGATACAAAATGGTGCTCAGGAGAGTTTTACTATATGAGACCTTCTATTGTTTGCTAAAACAAATGTATAATCTCTCTAAACTCTACCACCTCCTTGGAAAGGCTTTAGACATCTAGAACATCCTCCATTTTAAAGGCAATACCTAAAGAGGGGTTGGAATTTACCTTAAGGACCTGTGGCCCTGTAAATTCATGCCATTGTTAGGGATTGAAGCTAATACCCCTGGCTACTGGCAGAGGATAACATAAGCAGTGTAAAAGAGGACACATAAACTCCGGTTCTAGGCAAAGAGGTCCTGAGTTGTTGGGGAATTTTTTACTTGGAATTTTGTATTTCATTATGATCTAGCTTTATTGAACTTCTAATGTACTGCCATTACCTTAATGATAATATTATTAGTTTCCATAGAAATTCTAGATCAGCCTAGAAAGAGTAAACATAATTAATAATAAAAGCTAAAACTTACATAGCATTCACTGTATACCAAATACAGTTTTAAATACTATGTATTTATTAGCTTATTTAATTCCCATCAGACCTCCATGAGGTGTGGGTACTGTCCTTTTTCCTATTTTCCAGATCAGAACACTGAGATATAGGGAGATTTTTAAAATTTTTGTTTTTGTTTCTTTTTTTAAGGGAGATTTTTGCTATAGGGTGCACACACTCGCCAGAGAGACAGAAAGTGAGAAATCACCCCCCTTCCCCAGGGAGGATGGCCCCGCTGTCATCCCTTCTCCATTCTCCTCGTGGGATTTTGGGCATGCATGCATACATGCCTAGCGTTGAGTTTTAAGCCACTGGGTCTGGGACTCGAACCATGGTTGACCATGACTCGAACCGTGAGAATCCAGCAATATAACCCTTACACCATTTGTTGGTCCTAGGGAGATGTTTAATAGTTTGTCAGTGTCATACAACTCAAAAGTGGTAGAGTTGGGATTAAACATTTTCAGTTTTCTAGATTAGTGCCATTAACTACTATGCTTAGTTGACACGAACATATTACATTTCTGTGAGTGATATTTTTCCTCACTGTACTGTTGACTGATAGTCCATATGACTTCCTTTGACCCTGCTTATTATATCCTGTCTTAATTGTCAGGAAATGGCAATTTGCATAGCATGATCTTCTGATGAACTTTTCCTTCTTTCTTTTTCAGAGAGTCATTTTCAACATTGTTAACTTTAGTAAAACCAAGAGTCTTTATAGAGATGGGATGGCCCCTATGGTGAAATCTACCAGCCGACCAAAATGGTAAGTGTCTCTTTCTGGTTAGAAAATTTGACCCAGCATTCGTCTTCTTTACCACTGGGACTCAAACTTACTGTCACTGATAAGAATGAATACTATGAGTTTCTGCATAGCCAATATTTGGGTTCTTGGTACTGTTCTTCGAAAATGTTGGAAACATACTACCATTTTTAGATTGACCAGCATTCTGAGAAAAGTACAGTCTGTTTTTTTTAAACTTCTTATTCTGTTTCCCTTGTATGATGGTATCTTTGGAAGCATAATTAAAATTTGTTCCTTTTTTGTCTGTTTGTTTTGTTTTGTTTTAGCCTAGGTAGAGATGATATACAATAACCTAGAAGGACACTGGAAACTACAATTTAATAAATTTCTCTTCCTTTGCTTTTTTTATTTTGATATTATATAGATGTTGTTTTGGTGGACGCTAAAATTCTATTTGTCTCATTGCTATAGTGAAGAGGAGAAAATTTAGATAGGACTACTAAATAATAATAATAATGATCATAATAATGATAACAGTAGTAATAATTACGACTCCATTTACTAAGCGCCCATTCTGTGTCAGCTACTTTACTTTGCTATTAACAAATTTCCAAGGGAGATTTTAAGTGTTCCTCTATTACAGATGAAAAAAAAAAAATAATAGGGCCAGGAGAAGTCAAAGTACTTTCTCAAAACCATAAGCAGTAAGACGAGGAGACTGTGTTATTTATATTACTCCACACTGACTTTCTAAACAATTTGTTCCTCATCCATCCATTCATTTATTCATTCAACATTTGATAGAGTAGAACAAAATGAGAATTTTTAAAGACAGAAACTAAGTACTATTCATCTATCACACAGTAGGTGTTAAGTGAATGCTTGGTGAACTGAACTGAATTTGATATGAGAATTTACATGTAAAGTGCCTGGCACTTGGTAAGTGCTCAATAAATGTCATCTATTATTAATAGTATTATGTAAAACATTATACAAATGCAAGGAATTGTTAATATTATTCTAGCTTTGATCCTTGTTCAAATTTTAATGACTAGTAAGAAGATAGTCTCCAAATATCTATATTTATAGAAAACCAGCAATTCATAAATATTGAATTGTGCTTTAATCTACAAATGATACTTGGCAATTTTCTATAAATGCTGGACTGGGGAAGTTCAGGTTTGTAAAAGTGTAGGCATTTGGTGATGATAATAAAAACTGTTTATAAAAAGGCAAAAAATATCTCCCTGGGCATATTTTTTTGCTCTGCTGTTTCAAATCAATTGAAGTGCTGCTCCTTCTCTTAATTTTCTTTGACATGAGGTCTGCACAAGGGGTAGACCTTTGTTTTGAGTCTCTGAATCTAGCCCAAGCAGATAATAATAGTATTCATCAGGCCCCTGGTAGTGTGGAAGTTAAGGCAGCTGGATCCCACATGGCCAACTGTGTAATTCGAGTCTCAGACTAGGAAGCTTAAAAAACACACCAGGCACACATGTATGTGCATACATACATGTACTCAACATCCTGAAAGGAGAAATGGAGAATAAATTGCAGTTTGACTATTCCCTGTTGGAGGGAATTTACATTTTCCCTCTCTGTCTGTCTCTGGCAACTCATGTACCCTCTGGCGAATTAAAAGTAAATAAATAAAACTTATCTTCCTATTGATAGGCATATGTGTAGAAGAGTACTTCAAACCTTGCTAGTAAAAGGACATTACTGTTTATATGCTCATGGAGGGTCTTCAAAACAACTTTGTACATCATTTTATTTTTTTCCAGATTCAGAATTGGATTGTTATGTAGCAACAATGATCACCATTCCATTCCTTTTTCCCAAGTGTACAGTTTGGGAGTCATTTTTTTAAATGTGCTTTTTAAGAATTTTTTTTGTTATGTGCTTCTGAAAATCCTTAAACCTTAATTAATTTTGTTTCCTCCCTCTCAGGGAAAAATACTTGCCTCTCTTTCAGTACCCTTGATAAGATTTTGAGATATTAATGAGTCTGTCCATTTGTATTATAATATTTTAGCATTATGTTAGTGCTCTTATGCAACGTTGGCAGGCTCTCAGTAGCAGCCATTATCCAGTCACTGGGCTTGTTGAGTGGTCTGAAAGAGCCTAAGTTTTGAGAAGTGGATTATTTTTTTTTATTGCTTTGTAATTTAATCCAATCAAATTGTTTGTTTGTGTGTGTGTGTGTGTGTGTGTGTGTGTATTTAATTTACCATTGCCAGACCTTGAACACAAAGCTATTTACATTGTTTCATAGTGTTCTTTCCTCAAGCCAGATGTTTGATATTTATTTATATTGTAGGATTAATGAGCATCTTAATGTGGTATGCACTGATCTAGGTACTGAGATATAATATAAATATGCTGTAAAACATTCATTCCAAAAGAGAACTTTCTTGTTAGATTTTTATTAACTAATCTGTAGAGTTCATAATTGTTATTTTCTCTGCCACTGTTTTATTTTGAGCATCCTTTCTTTCCTCTCAGTGCTCTCTGCTGAGGACTTTCTTCCATTCCTTGTATCAGTTACCTGTACCAAAGCCTGTCTGCCAATAACCATTATCTTAAATGTGCAAATGGTAGGCAAAGAAGTGGCTGTGACTATTTGACACTCTGAATATTAGTTTTTATTGGCTGCAAGATGTCTGTCATAATTTAGAGTTCTAGTCAATGCCCTAACTCAAGCCTGACAAATACCTTATGAATACCAATATTATAGTATCTTCTCAATGTCTTCCTGATTCCAACGATTCCAATACCAAATGAACCACTATAACAAAAGTTTCTGATACTTTTCTTGCCCAGGATTTTACTTCCTTTGATATTTCAAACAGGGACATGGAGAAATTTTTATCTCAGGACAAACTTAAAAATGCCAAATTGCCTGGTTGTGTATATAGAAAATTGAGAAAACTTAATTTCTTTATCTTTTCAAGGTGAAACAAAGGGGCTATAACTGATCCTATGGCTTTCAAGTCATAGCATAGACATGGCAGTTTTGTAAAAAGCAAATGAACAAAAGACACAACTGAAAAGCTATTATGCAAATAAATATACAGCTCTCAGGGCTGTTCTGCCTTGAGGAGATAAGGTCAGAATACCTAGCAGCAAGGAGAAGCTGAAAGATTCAGAAATTTTTTGTTGTTTTAGTTCACTTAATTCTCTTTACATATTGTTCCTCTTAAGGGTTGTGGTTAGGACTCTGTACCACAGTTTCTGAAATAATAATTCATTACCTTTTTTAACAGTAGCTAAGGCTGAGATTGCTATATGTTGGGCACTATCGGAAATTTTTATTAAAAGACAGCTGAGATCTGTATCCTCACCTCTGCAGAAATAGAGACTTGTATTTATACAACTAGTAAGTGGTGGCACTAGCTGGAAATCCTATGACTCCAGGTCTCTGCTCCTCCCAAATCCCATACATGGGGATGGTGGTAGAAGGGAGGTCATATAGAGAGAAGATTACTACAGGACTCTGAGAAATTCCTTATCTTTGACTGACTAATATACAGTGTAAAATTCATTCTGCATGCTCTAATGATATATAGTGATTGAACTTATAAAAATAATAAAATTGTTAAGATGATAAGGAAAAAAAGATCAGGAAGAGAATATAAAGCTCACAAAAGAGGGTGAGAGGGACTGGCCACAGAGCTAGGAAGAAAACCAAGAAAATGGTCATAAAACTAAGAGGTTGTGTTTTGTTTTTATAAAAAGAGAAGATTACTACAGGACTCTGAGAAATTCCTTATCTTTGACTGACTAATATACAGTGTAAAATTCATTCTGCATGCTCTAATGATATATAGTGATTGAACTTATAAAAATAATAAAATTGTTAAGATGATAAGGAAAAAAAAGATCAGGAAGAGAATATAAAGCTCACAAAAGAGGGTGAGAGGGACTGGCCACAGAGCTAGGAAGAAAACCAAGAAAATGGTCATAAAACTAAGAGGTTGTGTTTTGTTTTTATAAAAAGAATCAGTGGTTAATATTACCAGCTGCTGTTGAGAGATCAAATATAATTAAAGTCTGAAAGTGTCCAATGCATGTAGTGACATGGAGGTCTTTAGAGACCTTGGTAAATACATTTTAGTGATGTAGAGAGTGATGAGAATTCAAACTAGGGTGTGTGGCTTAAGAAGTGAGTTGGAGTAGAGATCAGGAGATTGTGTACTGGTTACATTGCTGGACTCCCACATATTTTACCGTGATTTGAGTCCTGGGCCTGGTGGCATAAAACTCACACCAGATGTGTTTACATATGTGCCCAAAATCCTGAGAGGAGATTGGAGGAGAAGGGATTGCAGTGTGACCATCCCTCCTTGGTGGTGATTTCTTGCTTTCTGTCTGTCTTTCTGGCAAGATCACGTGCCCTATAGCAAAACCTCTCTCTCTCTAAAAAAAAAAAAAAAGAAAAGAAATAAAAAAAAGAAGTGACTTGGAAGATGGGGAAGATATGAAGAAATGGAGACAATAAATAGGGGCAGTTCTTTTAAATCTTTGGCTATAAAAATAGAGAAAATATCGGCAGGCTCATGGGATAGACAGCAAGTAAACACAGTTATAAAACTTTATTTTTCTTTAACATTTTTGCCATAGGGCATGTGTGCTCTGTAGAGGGGGAGTTGGTAGAGGGAGAAAAAGACAGAGAGAAAGTGAGAAATTACCCCTGAGGTAATGGCCATGCCACAAGTCCCTTCTCATTCATTCTCCTCTCAGGATATTTAGGCACACATGCCCATGTGTCTGGGTGTGATTTTCAGGCTGCTGGATCCAGGACTTTATCTGTGGTCGGCCATTTGGGAATCCAGCACCATGACCACTATGTCACCTGTTGGCCCCAGTTAAGATACTCTTTTGAGGGACCAGCAGTTGGAGTAATGGCTATGTCACTAGACTCCCATGTAGTCGACTGTGATTCAGGTCCTAGACTCAGTGGCTTAAACTCACACCAAGCATGTATGTGTGCGTGCTCAAGATCCCGAGAGGAGAATGGA